ACGTGTCTTCCCTCCTCAAGGCTGAGCTTTCCCTGTCATTTAGAGAGCAGTTAGAAAGCACATCCCTAACCGAATTGTAATAGTTTCACAAAGAGGAATAGAAACACTGAAGACTTGTTATTTCAAAATTAAAATTAAAACCGAGAAACATTGTTGAGATTTCACAACTTACTGTCAACAATCCACTGGTCACAGGAGACAGTTCAATCGCTAAACGATTCGAGGTTTCGAAAGTAGAACTACGCGCAAAATTAGCCATGCCTCGTGGATACTAGTACTGATGGCAATGGTACAAGTACACGTGCCTCCTTTTACTGCGGCCAGTCCACAGGCTCTCTTAAAGCTTAATAGAAACTGAACTTATTTTCAAGCTCTCGTGTTTGTCTTGTCTGACTGCGGGAACATTCCAGAACTTCTTTGATTCCAAGAAAGCGTGACTTTAGCAAAAGTTCGTCTCTGCGTCTGAATTCGAGGTAAAACTCCAATCAACATCGTTTCTCAGAATGCATTAATGTTGCGTTCTTTACGCAGAAATACATCTCTGCTTAACCTTTTCTAGATTAATGTGGTAAAATTACCAAGTCATACGACAGGCATATTGACAGCTTAGTAACTAAGAAGGTCATGACTAGGGCAACTTCGCTCGTCAATGTAAATTACTGCCCAAAATTTCAAATATATTATTCAATGGTATGACACTTAAGAATTCCATAAGTAATAACCAGAAAAAGGCACACACACATCCATCTGTATTTATTGATATCGAGACATTATCTTACAGAAGGTTTCATCTTAAAAATAGTAACTCTATACTTCAACCGCTTTTCGTTACTTTATACGAGAATCGAACAGCTATAATTACAATATTTAAAAAAGTCTTCGTATCGTACACATTGAAGCGTTTCAAAAGTGCAAAGTACTTGGCCTCTGTAAAGCCATCGCGAGTCACACGAGCACAAAACTTTCTATGGAAATTTACAAGAACAAGAGCGAGATTTACGAATTAAATGTCCATATACGATCAACGAATTGGTAATCGAACAATTTAACTTTAAAAAATCTTAAGGTAACAAAATAGCTAAATTTACGAATACATATTCTGGAACCTGTGGACACAACGCCTTTGATTTCTATGCGATAATGCGATTTGGAAAAACTTAAATAACGGACGAAATACAATTGAAAGTGGCCTTTATTAAGCGAATTAGAAATTAGAATTTTGAAGCATTTTTGTCTCTTAAGATATTCACAGTGGTTTTATCTCTTTCCTCTTCAGGTGAACTTGGTATCAATTGTCTGGGCCTAAATCACTGATTGACTTTAAACACAAGAAATGGTGAACACAGAGAAGAATCCAGAAGGTATTGTCATTGCAAATATTTAAAAAGGTGTAAAGATTGAAATTTTGGTAAAGGAAAATGATAAAATTGCAGGAGTAATTCCTTACCACATTATAACGAAAATACACTCCACGATGAGAAGTGTTTCACCGATCATATTTGTAATTTTTGCAGTGGTTTCCCCCCCACCCCCCTATACACCAGCCGGACAGCCTCCTGTCTCAGCTCAGCCAGGTCAACAACCTCAACCTGGTAGCCCCGCTCAACCTGGATATCCAGCCCAGCCTGGTTACCCAGCCCAGCCTGGCTACGCAGCCCAGCCTGGTTACCCAGCCCAGCCTGGTTACATAGCCCAGCCTGGTTACCCAGCCCAGCGTGGTTATCCAGCACAGCCCGGGCAGTATCCACCTCAGCATGGGTATCCACCGCAGTCTGGTTACCCGCTGCCTCAGCCAGTTTACGCTCCACAGTCCGTCCAAGAAGTTCAGCAAAGTAACATTGAAATCAATATTGGCGCCCCGGTAAGTCCCTCTCGTGTTCATAGTATGTACTTTTTGACTGAATAGGAAGGTCAGAAAGGGGAGTCATTTGGCTCTCGATCATGACGCACGGACCGAGCGCAGTTGACGTCCTTGTATCATGACCGAGAGGCAAATATTTTCCCGTCCGGCCTAAGCAACCTCAGTCAATACGCTTTTTATCTTATGGCGACTTAGTATTGAAAATGTTGAAAATTGTCTTTCAACTTACGCGATAGACAAGTGCGCAGGACAATACATTATAAAATAAAACTTTCCCTTGTTTTTAGAGTCAGAATAAGAGCCCTTTAATTCATCGAAAAACGGAACTCTTTTCACTCTTTTCTATTTTCCTTTGAGTATTTGCAACAAAGCCGTGTGAGTGCAGGGCCGGACGTTTTCTTCCGGACTGGCTCACGTCAACCTGCCCGGCCCTACAAACGTCAGCTTTCACTATAGTTGTCTATGATTGCGTGCGCAGGGCCGCACGGGCTATATGATAATAGAGAGATTTAGCACCGCGATTACGTGAAACGTGAA